GATATAGATTTCTGACAACAAACTTGATATATCCAAAAATTCTTATTCGTCTAGTTTTTTCTTCAAACATCAGTTTTTTGGAATTCGCTCCCTTCATATTTTTTACTTGATTCATTTAATTTGCAATCTTATAATCGTCTGTTAGTCTTTATATTGCTTTATAAACTTCATCATTTCTCTTCCAGTAAATTCCAACTCTAATAGTGGTTGCTTGCGGCATTGTTAGAATCGAAAATATTTTTTAAAAAAAAAGCAGTTTCAGTCAATTGCTTTTAGCTATATGAGTTGCAACTAGTTCTAAATTTAATACCCGTTATAACTTTAATAATAAAATTTAATATTTAATATTTAATTTAATTAATTTTATTAATTTTGATTAAATGTTTAAAATAATTTTGAATATTAAAATTATTTTAAAATTATTTTAATATAAAAAATATATAAAAAATGCTGGGTATGAAAAATGAATAAAAAAAAATATTTTAATGGTAATAAGTGATAAATTGTTTGATAAAAAGTGAATTTTTTCAGTAATATATGTTGATGAATACTACTTAAGATTTGGTGGATGTTAACGATGATGAAGTAAAAACAGCTTCTCAAATTGAGAATAATGCAACAATTCATCATGTCTATGAAAAAATAACAATTAATCTAACTGATAAAGAGTGGGAAATATTGAAGCACTCTAAAAAAATACTACGTCCTTTGAGAACCTTCCAAAAGTTTTTGAAAGGTAAAAACTATGCTACTATTAGTTCTATACGGTTAGTAATACTACCTATCAGACAAAACTTAATGATTAAAGAAGGTGAAATGCAATTCTTCTTGCAAATTTTGCGTTTCACAATATACTGCTGTGTGATTTGAATACTATATTTGGTTCAGGTGTAGATGGTGTTTTAGTTGGTAAGCATTTATGAGTAGTTCCTTGCAATTCAGTAGTTGCAATGAGTAGTTACTTGCAATTGCCTCTTCATAGTATTCATACACTCTTTAGCAGTTGTACTTAATCCAAGAACCAAAAATGGTCTAGGTTTTTTAGCCCAATTTTAGTATTCATACACTCTTAGCAATTGCACTTGATTCAAGAAACAAAAAATATATGAGAATTGGACCTAGGGACATAAAAAATATATATATAAAATTAAAATGATGAACAGTGTCAGCAGTCAAAAAAAAAAAAAAATACCAAACATCAATAATCCTCCAGTAACAGAAGCACATACTGGCTCTATCATAAAAAAGGATATTTATCAAAATACATATGCTAATGATGTTGATAATGATGATGATTATGATTATGATTAATGAGTTAATCAATGATAGTTGATGAGGATAAAAACGACGACGATAATGATAATAATGCTGTTATCCTATAATTGTTGAGAATAATTAGACTCAGCAGCTTGTTGATACAGAAGCATCACAGTATCGAGCAGAAAAATATTTAAACAAAATTGTTGTAGATGTTGTAGGATCTAATGGCAAACTGAATTTTATTTATTCCATTAAAATGTTGGTCCTAAAGAGCTACTTGCTTTTCATTACTAGATCATATGACAAAGAAGACATGTATTCAGGCAACATCAGCTTGACTAATGAATAAAAAAGTATCTTTTCAAAATTTTTATTACAATTATATCTTTTTATATTAAAAAAAGACCCTTTTTTTCCCTTTATTATTTTTTTTTTTTGCCGCTCTCAAAATTACTTTCACCCAGGGCCTAATTAGGCACACTTTTGCTACACTACTGACTGCACATTTAATAAGTTATGACTTGTAATACTTTATTTAAATTAATTAAATTTATAAAGAGATTTTAAAACCAAAAAAATAATTTTTTTAATTTACATTGTCAAAAGTCTCAATCAGAAAGCGATCACTGCCAAAAGTCTCAATCAAAAACGATCAGTTTCAGTTTCAAGCTGAAGCTGATCGCTAAAAATCAGTTTAATTGAGCCAAGTTTTTTCCTAAATATGTTATTTTACAGCTCCATATTTTAAATTTGTTTTTTTTACAGCTCACATTGAAACAAGATGTTGAATCACTCTCGTGATGCTCGAAGAAATAATTTTAACGACATTGGAAAACTTTTGATTCGTGAGAAGACAATTTGCGACAATGACAATACACGAGCAAAGTTTGAAAAGTTACTCATTTATTTTTTTATAAAACAGTTTTATTGTTTTTTTTATTTGAAATAAATGAATTTTATTTGACTTTTATGCGTAGTTTAAAAAAAAAATTTAGAAACTTCAAAAATTTCTTAAATGAGATAACAACAATAACAACATTGTATGATTCCATAAAGGTTACCCAGCGGGTTAGAACTTATGGTTTTCAGATGGAAACCGCGGCCGAAACACAACAGGATCCTGAAGGGTTTTTTATATAGGTCTCAGTAGCAAACCTATATTGATACGGCTTTTATACACGGAATATAATTAAGACCAATATGGGATACTGGCAGGTAAAACCATATGGGTCCCAGAAAGAAACCGCGAGTCCAATCTAACGGGATCTCGGAGGATTTTCCGCATGGGGCCTAGATGACAACCCATATGGATTCTACAAGGTATCCATATTTCAATGCTGGCTGGGTAATGAATGAACGAATTTTATGCCATGCACACTCATTCAGTTTTTTTTTAATTATTATTCCGATTAACACTGAACAAGACTGCAAGCAACCATTATTAAGTTAAGAATCACTAGAAAAACAAAAATAATAGGGGTATAGACCAAGGAAACGGTTGACAGAAGACTTGAAAAGTTGTAAGTTGTATGAGTCAGGAAAACATAAAGAAGGAAGAGAGTTCCAAAGGGTTGAAGTGCGGGAAAAACAACGAGATGAATAAAAGTTTTTAGAGCATGCAGGGATAGATACATTAAAAAAAATAGACTTCGCTGAACAACAAGTCAGACAAGAATGAGTTTTAATTGATTGTACTAGTGATTATAGCTCGTTTGAGTAGTGACCATGACATTATTTGTAGGCAAGAGAAAGTGATGCAACTCTACAACAATGGGAGAGAGGCTCAAGCTTATCAGAAAGAGCGGGTTACTACGCTTACAATTCGTTTTTGGATTTTGTTTAGAAAAGAAAGAGCATCATTTGAAGAACCAGCCAAAATATGACAATATTACTATATACAGGGACGAATAAGAGATTTGTAGAGTTTGAGAATGGAATCAGGAGTAAGATAATGGCAAGCACTATAAAGAAATACAACCTTAGCAAATGCTAATTTAGCATTCGATTGTATTTATGGTTTCCATGAAAGGCCAGGTTTATACAAGTTATTGATAAAATATTAAAAAAATAGATTTCTCTAACTTAACTTAATATAGAAAAAAAATACTCACATTGTCATGCTTTGACCCGATGGTTGCGTACATTTTTCATTCTTTTCCTCTTGGTCCAGGTCTAGCTGATATTTTTGACATGCACCTTTTACAAACTTGTTTGTTAGTTCTATTGTTGAAAGTATTAGGTTGTTCTTTCGCATACGGTCTACAATCATCTTTCTTGATATCATTGTCTTTTTTTTATTCTAGAAATATACTTTTGAGAGAAAAGTTTGTCTGGGGCAATTTTCGCCACATGTGGTACCTTACCATAAATTCCGCGACATTTTATCAATGTATCATCACGCTGCACGAATTTTTTCTGATATTAAGTGCATCAATTCACTAATTAAAAGTCAACAATGTAATTTCTAAACTGAATTTATAATTAAATTAGTTCATTTACTCTATGCTTATATCATATGAAGAAGTTGCTGCCTACAAGCAGACTGTTAAGGAGATTGGTGCCAGCGTGCAACCCCTTACATTCTGGTTTTCCAATAAGAAACCTTTCCCTCAATTGTTCAAGTTGTCAATTTGATATCTATCAGTGCCTACCAACTCAATTGATGCAGAGAGAAGTGTTAGTAACTACGCTGATAAATGTAACTCAGCGCAATGCTTCACACATATTATTTTAATTCTGCATGCGTTGATGGCATTCAACGTTAGAAATATTGACCAATATAATAGTTGATGACATTTGATGACGTTGATTTTAGAGAGTATAAGTACAATTTAAAGACATTTAATTTGACGAAATAATTGTTTACGTTTGCTTGCTGTGAATTTACCTTGATTTTGCGACAAATTTTTTAAATACGCCGTAATATCTGCAATTTTTTACTGTGAATTTTCACTGGCCCTAATCATTAGTTAGGGAGAAAGCGTAAACTTTATAGTTAAATGCTCTTCCGCAGTGTTGTCTTCTTACAAAAATATTGACTTCTTAAAATACCTTAGCGATTGTCTATAATATACGGAATGTTTAATTCATCTAAAAAATGCAAGTCGGAGATCCCAAGCTCTTTTGCGCAGCAATTTTCATTAAACCTAATGGACTATTTTGATTTTTCATTTAACTTAAGGCTCTGCGACGAAAAAAACTTTTGATATTTTGTCTCTTGTTTATTAGTGAAGTTTAGTGTTGCGTAATTTATGCATGATCCCTTAAGGTGATAAAAGGTAGCAAAGTAGTTTTTTTTTTTTTTTTTTTTTTTTTTTAATGTTATTAACTAATTTTTTTTTTGTAACAACTCTGCTACCTTTTGCAACTAAGTTAGAGGTTGATAAAAAAAATTTTGCAAGTTGTTTTTTTTTTTTTGGTAAGGTTATTTGTTTTTGCTGTTGCTGGTTATTTGTTTTTGCTGCCTAAAAAACAATTTACAAACAATTTTTAAAAATGTAATGCAAAAAATCACACGGTATTTATGGTACCCACAAATAGTTTAACTAAAAATCAATTTTTTTGTTTTTGTTTTGTGCATGCTCATTTAAATTTTAGCTTGTATGGTTGTCTGAGATATTCAAATTTTATGATGATATTTTATGATGGCTAAAGACTGTTAGACCACGGTTTAAATATCTATTTGTAGACTGGTTTACGTTCTATAAATCGATTTAAATGATTAATAATTAAAGTATTTGTTAAATTTAACTCATTCAATGCTATGCTATAAAAACTACTACTTATAAAAGTTGTTTGATATAAATAATTTTAAATAGTTATTTTGTTTCAGTAAAACTTTTGTAATAGTAAGACTACTTAAATCATAATGGCAGCACTAACACAAAGTACAGTTATGGAAACAACAACAGCAAGTCAGCCTTCAACGACAACAAGTCTGCCTTTAATTTGCGACGCAAGCATAGATTCAACAATAATTTATATTACAGCAGGAATCTCAGTAAGAAATATTTTAGCCGTAGTAAATTAAATTTTATAACTAAAGTTGATTAAAAAATACTTAAGTTTGATTTAGAGTTTTATATTTAGTGATTTTAATAAAATAAAACATTTACTAATTAAGAGCAGTACTTAACATATATATAGTGGGGATTACATTAGGTTCTTTATATTCTTAACATTTGCATAGTAGGGTTTGAAAGCAAAGGGAGCATTCAATTTCTGACTAAGCATGAGGACAAAAAAAAAAATAATTTGTGCTCCACTTTTATACAATACATCATCTAAGTATTTCTGAACTTTGATTTTCTGAAGAGATAGAAATTTCAGTTCTATGATCCAAAAAAACCCAACAAACATGTTAGCTTTGAATTGACGTTGAAAATTTTTTTATTTTATTTTTGCTGTATAAATATTATAAATAACGCAAATTATCTCAATATTAATACAAATTGCCGAAGCAGAAGACGCATTATGTTCAATTGCCAAGTGTCAAAATAAGATCTGTAAAAAATCTATTACATTTATCATTGAAAATGCTATATAACATTTAAAAAGACTTTCAAAAACAAGAAAGCAATAATAAACACGATACAACAATGCATAAAAAAATTCTCACAATAGTTTTATAAAAGTTTTATCAGGCCGGCAATGACAAAATACAAAAAGCTTTAAAAAATTCAATTAGTATTTTTTTATTTATTTTGTTATTTGCTATAAAAAGATTCGGAATCTTTAATGAGATTTGATCACGTTCACAAAAGTAATAGAAAAAATTGTTTTATTGTTATATAGGCTGTTTAATTATTCGGCAAGCTCTATGAATTCTGTGTTTACTGAAATAAACAAAATTTTGTGTTACAATGAGTATAAAACAAATTTTTATCATCAGAGACAAATAGCTTTTTATTTATTTTTTTATTTGGCGAATATTTATAAATACTTTATAAATTAATTCATATTTAGTAATTAATGTAAGTTTTAATTAAGTCCTGTTAATAAAATAAAAAAAAAAAAGATAAATCGAAGTAATAAAACTATTAAAATAAGTTTTCACGGTATATAGTAGATCAAAGTATAAGCTCTAGCACCAGACTAATAGAAAAGACTTCTATCATATTCAAGTTTGATTTTTTGAAATTTTATTTTTGTGGGTTTAATTTTTACGCTTTACTTCTATGATTAAATATTTCAAAGCAGTTGTTAAACATGATAAATCAAAAATGCACTACTTTGTTAACCTTTTCGCTCCGTTCAATTTTTAAGGTTCGACGACTCAGCGCGCAATATTTTTAGCTAAAGTTGTAGGTATATTAAAAATTAAGTTTTTTAATGTTATCGTAATATCTGAACCTTGAAGTAAAGTTTTTCCGAAAGTAAAATGAATATATTTACATATCTTATATAGATTGACACCATACCTAAATTTAAAAAAATAAGTTTTTTTAAGAAATATTTTACATAGCACTTTTTTCAATAGAGACACTTTTTATAAAAATTAAAGAAAAATAAAAATAAAAAATAAAGAAAAATAAGAAAAAAACAGGCGGAAACATATAAGTAGGTAAAAATTAAGCTTTTTAACATCTAAAGGCATTTTTAACTAGAATAAATAAAACATATTCTAACACTTTTATTTCTTATAAATTTTCAAAAAATTGTAGTCCTAGTTTGTTTTTTTTTTTTTACAGAATAGCTTTATTACAAATATAACCGGCAGGACTTCCAGAAGATTATACGATCTTATCATGAAGCTCTTTACTATATGAAATATAATAATAATAACAATAAAATCAAATTAAACCAATAAAAATAAATCAACATAAACTATATATAACTGTGCATTTAAAATGTAAATATACTTGATAAAATATATGAAACAAATGAACTAAAAACAAGAACAAATATATTCTGCTCTAAATAAAACTTTTAATCATCGTTTGAAAGAAGGTAAAGTCCATTTCAAAGACAAATCAAAATTTGGCAAAACTATTTTATTCCATAAAAAAGGATTGCGATAAGAGATAAATAGTTGTTCAAATTTAGTTTGGTAGAAAGGTTCTTGCAGATTTTTTCCATTGCGAAGATTGTATTTGTTTATGGGTTTTACATTATAGAGGTTTATAAGTACATCAGGAGATAAATAATTTTTACATTTAAACATGAAACATAAAATATTATAAACATTTAGTTCGTATACATTTAAGGCTTTCATTTTTCTCAGAAATAGTTTTGAATTTGAAAAACGATTTACAAAATTAATTAAGCGAAGTGTTTCTGTTGTTGATAAAGAAACTTAAGTTTAGTTTTGTGCGAGCTTCCTCATACAAAATTTGCATAATTTATATGGCAGTGGATAAACGAATAATATAGTTATTTTAATTATTGTTTATTTAACACATGTCGAACTTAATATATAATTTCAATACTTTTAGCAACTTTCATGGAGATATTATCGATTTGTTGCTTTGAGGATAAGTTTTCGTCTACAAGAACTCCGAGAAGTTTTGTAACTTTTTAAGTTTCGGCAAAGCTATTAGAAAATATTTGAGAAACCAAAAAAGTACCTTGTTGTTAGGAAAATATATTGACACTAAGAACATCAAAATACATTTCTATGGAGTACTTGCGTTTTACCTTAATTTAATGTAACTTTACTACATGTTCTTTAGTACTTTTTACAAATAAGTATGCATAAATAATGTCTATAAAACAAGGTTGATAAAAAGTGTAGATAACATACTAGATTTTAAGTCATAAGTTTAAATTAACTTTCTAAGGTTATAAAAATTAAACAAAAATATATATAAAATCACGAGAAATCAGTTATTTAACATTAGAATCATTATTCTTACTATTTTTGAGCTCATCAATAATGTTTTCAACTTGGGATTGTGACAATCGGTGACCTAAGGAAGTCAAAATGTAACTGGTTTTCAAAGTAAAAATAAAAGCAAAGTTTATATTAAAACCATGTGAAGTTGATGTTTTTCCAGACTGCTGTGGACTGTTGATTTGAAATCAAAAGTCAGAAATGCAATACACACTATAGTTTTTAAATTTTAGAGTTAAATGTATAGGTATGTTTAAAAACGCCAAAAGGCGTACTTTGGAGCTAGCGAGAACGCTAAAAGGCGTACTTAGGAGCGAAAAGGTTAATGGACATGGTACAATAAGAAGTTGCGAGAATAATGACTTTGTGTTACTATTTTGTGTAATAATTTCGTGGTTACTATTGAAATTTATTATACAAGATGCACCCATAGGCATAAAACGCGTCGGGGCTCCGGGGCTCGAGCCTCATCCGGGAATTTGTCGCTTGGGCTTTACCTTATCTGGAAAAAATTCACCAAGCGTTCAAAATTACAAAAAAATAAAAATAGAATATACTTAAACAATAAAAAATATGATAATTTAAAAACAATAGAAATATTTCCGCAAATAAATATAGTCATTTTCCAAAGTTCAAGCTTGTTTCAAAGTTATTTTTTCTAATTTCAGAAACTCCACGCTTACAATGAGTATCAAGGGAGTTTGAAATTGGTAAAAACGTTACAAAAGCAAACAAACCTAACTACAAAAACTAAAGAGCTGATAGCTTTGTGAGTTAAATGTTTTTATCTGGCGTACAGAATTGATAAATTTGGAAGTATTATTTGTATTAATTATTTATAAGTCTTTTTTTTTCAATTAAAAACTCAAATTTTTGATGAAATTTTTTAACTGTTCAACAGATGATTGACTTTTAAAAGATAATTTGTACAACAAAGAATATTAGTGAATACTTTTCAAATACTTTTCAAATGCTAATAACTTGATAGATAATACTCATAACAGTAATTTGTTCAGTCAGATGATGCAACTAAATCAACTGCTGTTGTTGAGTCACTGTCTTTTACAGAGCAGCTTTCTTAATAAAGAAACAAAATGGAATGAAATACATAAATGGATTTTACATGCTTGCGAGAAAGTTTTTTTTTTCACAAGCATCAAAGCTACACAAATAAAAATGCCTTTATTTCGTTGATCAAGAGAAAGCTTCGTAAGAAGCTTTTATTTTAAACAGATTTTCTAATTGGAAGAAAGCGATACAAATTTTTTTTTCTCACAAGCAATCTGAACTCCAAAAGGCGTCAGTTATCATGATCGCCTCAGCAAAACTGAAAATTAGCTGAGGTAAAGATAGTAAGATAGCTTAATCACCACCAAAAGAAAGAAATGATGGAGAAACGCACAGCTTTATCTAAAATATTTACAACCCTTGCTTATTTGATAATTCCTCAATTTCATTTAATAAAAAAATCAAGATTAACTGACAATCATTAAATTTGTTTACTGGATAACTAAATGTTTCTTGTTAATATATTAGGGAACGAAAAACCTTGTCTATAGTGGAAAGGCTAAAAATAATTCAAACTTTCGTCTGCTACTCAAATTACAAGACTACGATTCTCTAGAACTAAATAAATGGTTGAATCATCCTAAAAAGCAAAAGTGGCTCTTGCCTGAAATTGAAAACGCAATCCTGCTTGACTTTGCTCATGCAACGCTTCATAAGCTACGCGTGGTATTATAAATATTGTTCTATTTATTAGAAAGTAGTAATATATATTTTTTTGAAATATATTATTTAAGGAAATTATAATATTAAACCTTTATTGAAAAACATCTTAGACATGCAGCCTAATTTTTGCAAAGCAAAAAGTACCATCAACGTGCTTAAGGAGGTGTTAAAAGAAGCCCGGACTGATAATTGCTTCAAAGTCTTATGGTATATTGCCGTTGTAGAAGCGGAAAATAGATTACTTGATAAATCGCAGATGCCACGGAAATTTAAAATTACATTACAATTTACCGCCAGCTTTACTATGGATCTCTAGATTGTGTTAATAAGGGAACGCAGTGGTCTCAGTTGGTTTAAAACGTTTTGACACATTTTAAACCAACTGAGACCACTGAGCATTTAGCAAATGTAAAAAAAATTATCATTGGTTAGTGCTT